GGTATGGTATGGTATGGTATGGCATGATATGGTTTGGCATGGTATGTAATGTAATGTAAGGTAATATAATGTAATGTAATGTAACTAGTTATTTTTATTTATGTATGTATGTATGCATGTATATACACACATATGATCCTGCCCTCTGTGTGACTGTTTGGTGGCAAGAGTATAGTGTGTAGTACAGTGATGGTGCCAGCGGCAGTTGTAGTAGTCCTCGTTGTCGTTGTGGTGTTAGGAGGAGGAAAAGGAAGAGGAGTTGTAGGAGTGGGAGTAGGTGTCGGTAGCAGTAGCGGTAGGGGTAGGAGTAGTCATAGTCGTCGTCGTCGTCCTAGCAGTGGCAGTGGCAGTGGCAGTGGCAGTGGCAGTGGCAGTGGCAGTGGCAGTGGTAGTGGTAACGGTGGTGGTGGTGGTGGTGGTGGTGGTGGTGGTGGTGGTGGCGGTGGCGGTGGTGGTGGTGGTAGTATAATAGTAGCAGCTGTGGTGGTAGTGGTAGTAGTAGTAGTAGTAGTAGTAGTAGTAGTAGCAGTAGCCGCACGAGCACGTGCACGAGCTAGGAGCAGCAGCAGCCTTAGCAGTTTCAGTAGCAGGAGCAGCCACAGCAGCAGCCGCAGCAGCACAGCGCAGCAGTGGTGGTGGCATAGGTCGCAATCTGCAGCACTAGCCTTTGCAGCAATAAGTGAATAGCATGGACAAAGTGTACTGACTGAACACTGAAGGAATACAATGAATCGTCGTGGTAGCACAGCTTGTAACGCATAACCAGAGTCTAAACCAAAGTCACAAGGTGGAGAGTTGGGGTATCTGTGTGTGTGTGTGTGTGTAGGTAGCATGGTATCTTTCTACCTTAGTAGGGCTTTCATACCGGTAGATTACGGACTGTGCCTGTTCGTCTACGTTACGTGAATCATCTAGCAACTTCTTTTATGCTCACGACTGCATTACGTAAACTGACGGACGCAGTTAGTGCGCAGTTCTTCGTCCAACAAGACATATAGCCGGGTCCCAAGTACGTCCGAAGGTGCCGCCTCGAAAGCGAGTGATGCCGGTGTTGATCGATGAGCCGCAACTCGACAGACAGTTGGGGTTTTGAGCACAGCTCGGCGGTTCAGGCTATCAAATACGTTGAACCTTCAGTCAGCCCCCGAGAATGTATGAGTGGTAGCTGCGCGACCGTCACCACAGTTGATCATAGGATGCCTCAAAATTCATCAATACGCAAGGGACTTGTAACCAGAGCCCACCACTACCATCATTGTCACAGCCTTCATAGACCAGCAAGTGCTGCAGCGTTAACACTAGTTAAGTCCTGAAGCAAAAGAGCGCTTGCAGGTATCTTCCGCCCTACGACATGGTTGGCTGTGCGGAAGGTGTCGGCAAGAAGATCATGCTGCCCGGAGTCCCATATCAGGTTTCGGCATAATCATTGCAAGCATGAGGTTCACTGGAAGGGTTCCGAAACGCTCACTATGTTGGCTGTTCAGGGCGATTATAAGGGTACTAGAATGGCTGCGATAAGGACTACTACAGGTGTTGAGTTTTCTAGAGCCATCTCTGGGGTTGGGGTTGGCAAGGTGTCAACGCCGCAGACCGCAAAGCTGTGAAGTCGAAGTCCTAAAAAAGCCCTACTGGCAAGTTCTGAAACCCTGAAGCCCCAAGCTTGCGCCTAGAGCTCCGAACCCTATAAGCATGCCATACTCTCTGTCCCACAATACCGCTGCACCGGAAACTTAAACCGCAACGCCCACGTGGAGACCTGCTCGCTGGCACCCGGTCGCAGACGCGAAGCTTGGGTCGTATCCAAGAGAAGCGTTGCTTTCTAAAACCCCCTTGCTTTAAACAAACCCCCAAAGCCTGCAGGCCCCGAGCTCCCGAACCCCCGGCTCCTAAAGCCCTATAAAACCCATCAAAGTAGACTGCTGACTCAGGCGAGGCATTTGGGATGCTGAGCTCTTCAACCGAGACGGGAAGATGGCACGGGCCTCAGCTGACAGCCGCATGGGTTTCAGGTGTGCTGTTTTAGCCAGTTGTCAGGGTTGGTGGGCAGAAAGTCAGTGGCTTCGGTGTTTTGAAGAGCCCGGCAAGCCCAAGTAAAGCCAAGTTGCGATCGGAAGGCTTGCGGGAGGCCGGGTTGTCATGTTTACACTTGTAATTAGCACTCTTGTGCAAAGGCATTAGTACCGAACCCGAATACGTCGTATCTTCAACCCGCCAACTCTTCTCTTGAATCAAGCCCGTACCCATGACCCGAAATGAGCACTCATTAACTGCATTTCGTGAAGCGTGAATGCCCGGAGAAAGGCAAGCCTCGAACCCGAATCAACCTAAGCATTTGCTGGTTTGAGCCCGCCGCCTTGAATCCCGAGACCCTAAACCTGAACCCTATGTGCCATAAACCCAAACACCCCGACAGTCAGGCTGTAGGCCTTTAAGAATGTCCATCCTCGACACGTGCCGCTCTGTCTGTGTGTGTGTGTGTGTCACCAGGTGCCGCCACTGAAAGAACGCGGCCGAGGTCATGCCTTCGGTTTCGGAACTTCAGGGTTAAAGTAATATAGGGGCCTTCATAATTAGAATAGAGTTTTGGGCTCCTTTATAACTTTATAGTATAGTTATAATAAGGAGCCCCCCAAAATCATATTGGTAATTATTTAGGCTCCTACATTCAGGGCCTTCGAACACGAGAAGCCTTAAACGTAGACCCCAAAAGGGTCTAGCAGGCTAGGGCTGTTTTGGGCTGTATCGTTGATGAGTAGATGTCAGGTCTAGGACTTAAGGGTAAGCGGTGGAGAGGTCTGTTTGAAGGTTGATGGGCAGGTACAACTGTAGTTTGCCATAACTTGCTAAGCCCCTTGATGGATTCAGGGCTTCGTTTAAAAAGTAAACAAGGCCTCTGACAACCAATCGATCCAACACACCCTGAAATCCTAAATAAAGTCCACTCTAAACCCCAAACCGCAAACCGAAAAAACGCGAACCCCGTAAAAGCCCGATACACCCGGGTCTCCGACTCTGGCGAAACGCTGAAGCCTTCGAGCCCTAGTGCCGCACAAACAAAGGAACTAACCCAAATGCCCTGGTGACACATCCCCACTACACTGAAGTTAAGTTCCGAGACTTAATGATAAGAACTTAGGGACCGAACTTTTAATCAGGGGTTCCCCTCGAGATCGCCTTTGCCTTCCCCGCTCCCTCACAAAAAATTGCGACACGACACCAGTGTTTCATTGTTTCGGAGTGCGGGGTGTTAGGTTTGTGGCTGCAGGGGCTTAGGGTTATAGGGCTTGTGTTTGGTTTACGGAAGATGAAGACAGCGTTGTCAATACAAAGGTACTAAGTTACTACGATTTAATACGGAAGCAGGAGCAAGAACATGAAAGACAGCGTGAGCACAGCGGGAAAGGTTGAGATAGAGGTCTGAACAGTTCGCAATAAGATGCTTCGTATCATCCCTGTATCGACACTATACTATAGCCAAAAGCCCTATGCTAATCATTTAGGCGCATATAGCGATATTTAAAGGCACCAGCCGATGCACTGCAAAGGCGACAGGCATTAACATCTCGGTGGCTACGTGTCTCTGCGGAGTCGACACAAACACTCTATCTATTTTCTCTAGGTGTTTAAGGTGTTTAGGGTTTAGGGTTTAGGGGTATAGAGAGCATGCGTGAAAACTAGGTAACCCCACGCCCCCCCCCTGCTCACGCTTCCTTGAAGGCCTCTACATTCCGATTCCTGTCGAGCATCCAGATTTACCCGTCTGGCCGACATCTCAGGGAGGACTTGGGGGTCTCGGTCTTGGGGTTTCGCTGGTAAGATGCTGCTTGGAGTTGAGCCTCCTGGGAGGTTAAGGGATGTTGAGGGCTATGGGTTGGGTAGAACTGGGGTGTGAGTTGAAGGCTGTCCAAAGTGCTTGGAATTTGGGGTCTAGTCGAATGGCAGGGATTTCCCTAAACCCCAAACCCGAAGCGCTAAGCCCTACACCCTGAAAGCCTGAGGCTTCAAATTGAGGCAAATGAGTCATTCCACTTGAGCAGCTTTTTTAGTTGCGTCATGCCAGAGCCCCCAAGTGGCACGCAGCAATGAAGCCGTGGCAGCTCTGATTCGACAGCTACATCGTATCACCGAAGGCATATTCTTGCGCACCGCCGCCTCCAATCAGCTTCTTCTAAAGATTCTAGTGCAGAATGTAGGGGCCTTACTAATTACCTGCGCTATTTTGGGAGGCTTCTTACTTTAATTATAGTATAATTGACCCCACAACCCTACTCTAACTATTAAGGCCCCTATATTAGCATCAAGCTTGCACGAATGTTCGAACTTCGAGTTTGGGGGCTCAAAGCCCGGCATGTTCCAAATTCATAGGATGTTCCACCTTTGCACTCCGAACTTTATGCTGGAACTTGGCTTTTTGGGGTCAAGTTGTTCCTGTGGGGGGGGCGTTCTAACTTTCCGGCCTCCATCATCAACCCTAAAAGCCTACAGCCCCAAGCAAAAAACTTTCGACTCCCCAAAAGCAACCCGAAGCTCCTAAACCTAGTCGTTTCTCGAGGTCGCCCACGCTGTCGCCGCAAAAGTCCCGCGAGGCGGGTTTGGGGTGTTATGTATTCCGAGGAGGGTTTGGGGTTTTGGGGCGGTGCTTCGGAGTTTTTGGGATCCCGAAAGGTTAAGGCGTCAAACCCCAAGCAGAGCCAACCCCCTTTGCGAAGGGAGGCAGTCCTATGTAGTCGGAACCATCTCCAAGAACAGTTTCTCTGACTATTTTCTTCTTCTTCTTTAGTACCATTATTCTTTCTATTCAAGTCAGTTTATCTTACTGATTTTCAAAGAGGATCATGATCAATGATGATGATGATGACGATGATGATGATGGTGACGAGGATCATGATGACAATGATGCCGGATGCTATCTTGAACTCTCTGTATGTCGGCACAGCTTCCAGGAGAAGGTGACATCACTGATCCCGACCATCCCGGTGAGGTGCCGGGCACTGCCGAAAGGGCTAAAGATGTTCGGGTTTAGGGTTTAGGGGTTTAGTGTTTAGTTTTTCGGGTGTAGGGTTTAGGGTTTTAGGGTTTAGGGTTGTAGGGTTTAGGGGTATTGTCAGGTGTTGTGGCTTGGGTCAGCCCCCATTGCAATGCCAGTCCCGTTGGTTGTGCAGGACTAAGGAAATACTGGATCCCTGAAACATCTAGACCAGTATCACGTGTGCTGTCAGTGGGACTTATATCAGCAAGATGTAGGGTTTGAAGGTTTCGTGTTTCCGAGGTGTTTGCCTGGCTTCAGGGTTTATTCAGGGTAGCTGAAGGATTTCCGAGGTGTGAGGTGTAGCATGTTTCAGAAGTGTTCTGCAAGGAATGTGGTGTGAAGACCTTGTGCCTTCCCTGCGTTAAGTCCCTCGTGTTGTTTCCTCTCCTACAGTGACTACTACGAAGTTTTTTGTTTGAACACCGAATGGACCCCGGACCTTCGGCGTTGCGCAGCCAGGTCCTACACACGCTTCCGGCCAAAGAAGGCTGACCAGCTTTGCTGGGGTTAAGCTATCTAGGGCCGAGGGGGCGGGGTTGAATTACTTCCTTTTGGTGCTGCTTTTAGGGTTCCTTCATTGAAAGACGTGTCTAGAGTACTATATGTCCCCCAAACCCTGTTCTAACTACAAAGACCCTCTTTTTGATTAAGGCTATTGCTACTTCGCGGGATCGAGTATGGAAGCCGCAGAAATGAATGAGGGCACTACTGTCTATTTTACATGCCCTGTCGTTTAAAGTTTAAAGCATAAGCCGGGAGCTGCACAGGTAGTCTTCAAAGCTTTATGTGCTCTGGTGTTGTCGCTGAGAAGTACTTTGGGCTCGGGCTGGGACTGGAGTTTGCGCCCCAACAGATTTGAAGGTTCGGGGATTGGAGCACGGTTCTGTAAAGAGTCTTATGGTGTTTCGCAACAACGTTGTGATAAATTTCGGCTTTCGCAAGGCAAAGGGACATCATCGTGGTTCATAAGGGATTTGTATCATGAGGGTCTTGTGGGGCTGTTATCAACAGGGTTATGGGCGTCTGGATGCCAGAAGTTTCAACACAACCCGTGGCAGGATTTTTTTGTTTGTTCACTGAACGCTGGTTTGGCGATGTATCCTGAATGCACTGAAGCATGGGTTATCTTGCGTTTGATGAATCTTGCTGTGCTGGTGTCATGCTTCTTCGCCCTATAGCTGGAAGCAGAATCTCGAAACCCGAAAAAGCTCTATTCGCACAAGCTTTCGCATTACGACTTCGCCTAGCCCTAGCAACCACAACTGATAGCGACCGGACGCCCTTAATGTAGGGTCCGTAATACTTAGCTATATTGTTTTGGGGGCTCCCTATTATAAGTATAGTATAATGGGCCCCAAAACCTATTCTAATTATGAAGGCCCCTAGAGTCAGCTCCAGGCCATACCTGATTCAGACCTCAACCTGCCCACGCCCTGCCTATCATGAAGCCCGAGTAGGGTTTAGGGTTTCGGGTATAGGGCCCTAAATCCTGTACCCACCCCGACCGAACCCCAAAGACCTGAACCCCTGAACCGTGAACCCCTGAACCCCTAAACCCTAAACCCCCAACCCTGCAACCGATTCGTGTCTTGAGGTGCTCGCTGACATGCCCGGATTTCTCTGGGACCTCGTACGCGAGGACAACACGAGGGCTTCTAGCTTCAGGTACTGGTGTGTCACTGAGGCGTTTCAGGGTTCAGTGTTTTGGGAGCTGGTGAGTTTAGACGGTGCTCTTTTGATTATGGGGGGGGGAAACGCATGTTCGGGCACTTTTCGCCAGATTCAGTGATTCCGTGTTTGGATGTGCTGGGTTGGGGGCTCATAATACATAAGTAAATCGAAAAAGCAAATCAAAATAGATCAATTGATAGACAAAGGAACAAATCTCTCTGTGTGTGTATGTATATATATATATACATTTAGAATATATATATATATATATAGAGAGAGAGAGATAGGTCTATACATATATAAATATATATATAGATCTATATAAATATACATGTGTATATTTGTCTGGTATATTCATTTTTGTCAAGCCAATGAGTGAAAATTTGTATATATATATATATGTATATATATATATAGAGAGAGAGAGAGAGAGAGAGAGCGAGAGCGAGAGAGAGAGAGAGACAGCGAGAGACAGCGAGATAGAGAGAGAGGGGGAGAGACACTGGGTGTGTCCGTGTGTGCCTTGGGGTTCAGGGTCTAGGTCTCCAGGGTCTTAGATTTCAGTGTTTGGGATGTTGTTTCGAGCGTGCGATTTTGAGACCCGACGCATGATATGTATTGATATGTGAGCACAGTGTCTTCCTGCAGCAAACTGGAAACTGGAGCTTGAGGCACAAAGTGCGCATAAAATTGTGCAATCACCTGGGCTCTCTGTTTCTTCGCAGTCGCCGCGTGACAGCGGCCGGATTTATGGCGTGTGATAGCCTTGGCAACCAATACACATCGGAATCGCCACCAAACCCTAAACTCCCCTTTGCAGAAGCAAAGACGCATGAATTCAGATTACAAAAAGGATTTGTTAGATATACAGAATGCAGAAAACCATGCATACGACTCCCCTTCAGATTTATACACATCTACACTCCCGCAACTATATTTATACTTTATGTACACACACACAGAGAGCAAAAAGAAAAGCCCGAGGATGCCGCCGGCCAGGGCCTCTGGGATGTCATCCGACAGCGCCACGACATCCCAAGAGCCCAAGCCCTGGATCTTCTTCGCCTCTTGGGGGGGCTTTTGGGGGGCCTTTTGGGGCGGTTTGAGGGGGGTTTAGGGTTTAGGGTTTAGGGTTTAGGGTTTAGGGGACCTTTTGTGGTTTCTGTAGGTTGCTTTTGGTGTTGCTTCATGGTGGTTTTTTAGGTGGTCTTCTTTAGTGCCTTGGGTTTCAGCGGCGTCGCCTTCCTCTCCTTATCATGAATCATCTTGGGCGATAGCTGTAGGATATGGCAGGTTTCCATTTTCTATAGACGTCTGTAGAGAAATGCCTCTGACGCTGCGTTTGCCACTCATTGTTAAGTGTAACATGTCATTTTCCGCTGCCTGCCATAGGGCTCCGTTTCCCGATAAGTTTAGAATGCCTCCCATTTCTCAGTGCATCTCTCCGGAGTGTGGAGCATAGTTTTGGGGGTGCAGGCTTTGCGGGAGTTGGACTCAGAATGAACTTGTTCAAGTTTCGGGCAGAGGGGGTTGGAAAGATTTAGGACTGACAGTTTGGGTTTTTCAGATTCTTGGCTGGCGATTTCGGAAATGCAGTTGCGGATGGGGATACAGGTCTGCAGGCAGTTTGGGGGAGCCTCACTTACACCATGCAGAACCTAATGCGCACGGGTGTGAACGAGACCTTTCTGCACTTTCCTCTGCAACTTGCTTTCGTATCGGCTACTACGATAAGTCAAGACCAAGATCCTGCTAGGTTTCCGGGAAACCAGGGCGTCAACCTACCAGAGCCGACTTTTCTTGCAGGTTCTGACAGGGATGCGACGAAACAAAGTTAGTCAGGTAGCCGTTACTAGGTCACCGAAATGCTCCAAAATCCTGTCGCAAGCCCTAAACTAAAAACTAAACCCAGCATGTAGGCGCAGTTGGAAAAGTGCACGTAAAAAAGAAAAACACCTAAACTCGAAGGTTCCCTTGGCAGCTTCCTCAACTCGAAGCGCCGTACCGAAGGTTAAACCAGGGCTGAGGCTGATCGCTAACCTTGAAGAAGGGGCTCTTGATGCGTTTGGATGGTCCACTTGGAGGTTTATATAGGCCTAATCATAGCGGTATATAAAGGAGTGGTAGCTCCTCTTTCTTTCGCCGGCTACCCTAGACTGTGTTCTCAGTTCTAAAAAAAAATAAGCGGAACAATAGCCCTAAGCCCCAAGCTAGGCTGCATTGGCTCATAACTGCAGTCGTGCCTCATGTTAACAATATTCTGGCCCCGGAGCACCTCTGAACCTTGAAGCCCCCAAACTCCCAAACAAAACAAGTGGAGCCATGATAGCAACCCGTCTAGAATCCTCAAAGTACCCTTTCAAGGAACCTGAAATCGTATAGACCCCCGGCCACGCCTCCACCAGGAAGAGGCGGAGATGAGGCAAGCGGAGCTGGCGCGCCTCCAGGAGGACCCGGGTGATCAACCGGCACCGCAAGCTCAGGTTTAGGGTTTGGGTAGGGGCCTCAATAGTTACAATAGGGTTGTGGGGCCCATTATACCATAATTATAAAAAGGAGCCCCCAAAGTATATTAGGGACACAGGGGTGTCGGGTATAAGCGTTGTGGTCCGAGTGTACTTTTGGCTAGGCATCTTCGGTAGAAGTGGCTGTGCCAGCTCCTCATAGTCAACCCCGGCGTCGTTCGTGGCGCGGCCGCGGCGATCTCCTGGATGTCCTGCACGCCTGTTTGGCATCCGCTGCCAGTCGAATACACAGCCTCGTGCTGTCTTCGACCGCTGCGGCGGTCTGTCAGGCGGTAAGGTACGCTGCTTTTTGAGCCGTCCTCGCGGTTGCCACCATTTCGCCCTTGAAGGTCCAATCGTCTAAAGGTCTGCTGCGAAACCTTATCCTTATCCTCTGGTACTAGCTTCATCCTGGCTTTGGCTGGGAGAAAATCCAGCTGGCCAACGTGAAGCCAGTGAGCCCGACCGATGCCTTCACTGGGCAGGCAAGGCACCGCGGGCCGAGAGTCTTTGCATCACGGAAGCATGCCTCTAAAGCAACGGAACAGGGAAGCAGAAGGGTACCGACACCGACTACACAGCTAGAGGTCGGCTACCCCGGTCAGCGTGTGTCCGCTCTTCAGGACCTTGGGTGTTCGTCAGGAGAAGTCATGGGAGAACTGACGGCCGAACAGACAGCTCAAAGGCACAAAAATGCAGTGCAGAAGCTTTCGAAATGCATCACTGGGGATATGAAAGCGAGACTGCCCTGAGCGAAGCTTTGGGTCCAAAGGCATAGCTTAACCCATTTTCTGGCACGGCTTCTTTGATTTCTGCTCCGAGCTTCACGTTAAAATCCAAGGGTTTGGGGTAGCTTACGCTTCGCGGTTCACGAGGTCAGAGCTAGAGCTCTGCAAGTCCGTGAGCCCCAAACAGGCATTGCCGAAGTACCACAAAAAAACAATCCTTCGACCCTACACCCTGAGCTGTTGAAACCCTAAGCCTGAAACCTTCAACCTCAGACCCTAAACCCTAAGCCCTCAACCACAGAACCTCAACCTCCTGAAGCCCCTGCTATTTCGGCTTATGCCGTTTTCGACTTCACAGGAGATCGACGAAGAAGAGTCGCAGATCACAGCCACGGAGGAGGCTGAGAAGGCAGCCGCATTACCGTTTGGGTCAAGGGTTTCGGGGAAGGGTTCTATCCGGTTCTAGTACAGACCTGAACCTTTACCCGAAACCCTACCGAACGACCAGAAAAGACGCACAAAACAAAGGCTAAAGAACAGGCTGGCTGCAGTTCTCCGTTGGGGTTCCAGATTTAAAATCTAGAGTCGAGGGTTCAAAAACCACCCAAAGGTTGTCAGGCTTGGAAACCCTCCTTAAAACAACGCGTGCACGCACGTGCCTGCACACAGACACCGACACAGACACAGACACGGACACAGACACAGACACAGACACAGACACAGACACAGACACAGACACAGACACAGACACAGACACAGACACAGACACAGACACAGACACAGACAGACAGA